GTGTGTGTGTGTGTGTGTGTGTGTGAATGTATATGTGAAAGCTTGTAAGCCTGAGAGAAGGAATTCACTAATTAAACGTGTCCTTTTTCGACAGGGGTGGTGTCTTTGGGGAGAACTGTGTGCATGCTCTGGTATATTCATGCTGCAGCTGAGTCCAGCTAAGAAGGCTTTCATTAGTTAACAAGCATGAATGTATGCTGCTGAATGTATTGGGCTCATTATAGAATGTTTGAAAAAGGCAAAATGTGATGGAAATGTGTGAACGTCGGAGGGGGACGGCGGTAAAGGGGTTTGCAGTGTAATTATTCCCCATCGGTATAATTATTGTTCAATTGATTAGACGTGGCACAAATCCTCACCGCAAATGACGTGCGGCCTCTGTTGTAGCAATTATCGGCTGTCACTCAGGTAAGTTGATCGTTCGGGGGAGGGAGGATTGTTCCAAGCTGTCAAGAAATGGCTTTTTCTTGAATTGTCTCAACGTCCGGCCGTAATTCACCTGCTTCCTGCCTCCCAGCCTCCTCATTAACATGCACGGCCGCTCGCGCACGCTCGCCTCCCACTGATTCGTTTTTTCTCTCTCAGTGTGAGGACGGTGGAGCGTTCGCTGCCCGAGCTCCGCGCCGAGCTGCACCAGCAGGGCTGCAAGACCCTGGAGGAGCAGAAGAGGAGAGAGGCACAAGACGCCCTCGTCCGGCGCCTGCAGAAGCGAGTCCTGTTGCTAACCAAGGTACCCGGCAACCACAAACACCCCCCCACCAGCGCATCAGCAAGTTGCTCAAAACTGTGGGAACGCGGTAGAGACTTGAATCTCAAGACGAGTAAAGAATTTCTAATATTTCTCTCACCCCCCCATTCCTAATTGGCCAATGAATGTCATGTGACTTGTCCGTCTTCCCTGCTCTGCAGTGCTTGGCTAGACCTCCCTGTGCTATTGATTTTTGTGCGCGTGTTTTTCCCCTAGGTCATCGTACACAATCTCCTAGTACACAAATCACCCACACACTTACAAGCACAACCTCATAGGGGAGGCAGAATTTCAATGGGACTCGGAGACTACTTCCAACTATTTTGGCTAAAGCATGTTTTCAGCTGTGTGAAATATACTTGTTTATCCTCCCCCCGGGTCAGTGCATTACAAGAAACATCTGTTACCTCTTTTTTTCAGGCACGTTTGCTAGAAGTGTATGGAAATCTGGACATCCTGGATCAGATCAAATGACTCTTTAAATGCAATTATCATTTGGAAAGAACAAGAAGTTGGAAGTTGTTGCAGGCTGATCTAAAGACCTGAAACGCAGAGAGAAATAAGAGAGAACCCACACTTTTAATAGCCGTCATAGTTAATGACCTATAATTTAAATAAGAAACAGCCAAATATTCCCAAAGTTCCCATTACCTTAACGGCTGTAAATCAGAAATTCATGTCTCTCACTCAACCATCTCCTTAAATAGATTTAGGCTTTTATCCATCACTTTTCTTTCATTCATTTTATATGATCCCACTAAAACCACTGCCCACTAATGGATTAAATATGGCATGGCTGAAACCAAAGTTTTTATTATTAATTATAATAATATGACTTCTAAGGCCAGCTCCCATTGATTTTTATATTCTGTGTAAAAGTAACCTCTTAGTTTGCATTGTAGCAACTCCAATTCATGGTAAAGGAACGTTATACATCTAGTCAAACATGTTTTAGCATTTCTTGGGGGTTTGACCCGCATTATAGGGTTAAGGCATGATGAAAGTTAAAAGTCTGATGACAAAGCCATAAGATTTCTCTCCCGAAGGCGGGAAAGCTCTTTGTGCTCACCTTAAATCGGAGTTTAAAGAGTCTGGAAAAAGGTGTTGTATTCAGCGGTGTTGTGGCAGACTGGAGGTTTGTCATGAAGGGAGAATTAAAAATTGATACTGACATCCAAAAAGAAAAACATGACAAGATTTGACAAGATTTTCATTCGAAGAGTGGACTGTTATTCGTGTCAGCCATTTAAAATGATTTGTTATGAATCACAGATATTATGAATGTGAATTTAGAGGTCTCAGTTTCTTCTGTGTCCTGGTTAGTTGATCTCTGCCTCCCAGCTGCTACTGTTATGCAGACTTGATCTAAGTTTGTGGTTAAGTAGCAAATGCACCCCTATATATGCACCCCATTTGACACAATATACGTATATAGAGATGTATTTATTGATTCGATTACTGTGTAAGGAAGGGAGTGTGTTTAGCTCTTTCAGCTTTCTTTTTCCATCTCAGGATTTGATGAGGGGTTTTACGCCTCTTATTGATTTCTGTCCTCAGTGATGGTACGGGAGCCTTAATTATGTCCTATAACTTATTGGTGATTTAAAATGGACTCCACATCATGGAAATTGAAGACGGCTGTTAGGACTCCATTCAGAAATGAAGTCTTATCCCATTTTTAACTTTTATTCATATATTCAATCAATGAGGTAACGGCTCTGTACAAACCTCTTGCCATACGTCTGTTTTTAATGGTCAAAATCAAACGTTGCTGATTTGGAGCTTATTTCTTAGTCAGTTTGTCTATTAGAGTGTGTTCATGGCCCTAACCCTAACCCTTTGTGGTGTGGGTCAGCCACCTTTTTGGAGCAGCTTGCTTCCTGACCTGTGCTTGACTCTGTGGCACTAAGGCAGCAGTGCCAGGGAAAGGACCGAATCCCTAAACAACACATACCGAGTTCTTTCACCATTTCCAGCTAAATGAGTTTGTCTGCCATCGCCTGAGGGCCGTGTCTTCCCCCGGCTATCGCTCGCCGCAACTAACTGTATATATAGTTCGCCGTATATTTTTGTGGGACGGCCTGGCTGACCCACTAAAAGCACATTCACATCTCTCGCGTGCAAGATAAAGCTGTTGACACAAAAGCAATTTCCAAATAGAAAATGGGAGATGAAAACTGTAATGATGGTTTTATCAACCTGTCCCTTTGCCTCCCTTTCGCTTTGTTTTTCCTTCTAAGCGCAGAGCCGGCAGATTTTGATTAAGATGGAGTGAATATCTTCCGACGTTAATAGACTGTAAACAGCCAAAGGGCGTGCTGATCAGTATTTGGAGCAAATGCTGACCTCCAAATGTATTTGTACCGGCCAGCATTTGCCTCTGTTGACTCTGATCTCTGGTTTTGTGTTCGTCTTTGTCCTCAGAGGGTGAGTTTGACGGGTGTGGAACGCTGTGTGTTTTAGAGAATGTCACTTTGGTGCCAAAAAGCGTGTTGCACGAAGTGGATGTCATGATGTGCTTTTAAATAAACTCCAGTCAGTTTTATTTATTTATTTATTTATTCATTCATTTAATTATTTATTTTTTCTCTTTGAGCTGCAGATAGATTCCAATTAGTGTTCTATGCTTTGTGTTCAGCACTAATTTGACCGGACAGTTGCAGCTGAGTGATATGATTTCCCATCCAGGAATTACAATAAGTCTTTAAGCCGTTCTGAAAAGCCCAATCAGCATATATTACATGCTGTTATCTGGAGTGGTGTTTTTCTTCCACCAAGTATGTATTAAGGTAATTAAGCACGAGTTTCAAGTTCCTTTCTCAAATTACCTGTGTTGATGATTGAGCTTTCAAGGAAACGGCACAACTCAAGGAGAGCCCTCTGCAGATAGCTATTTATTAAAAGCCTGAATGTCAGGAAGCACCACCTGCTTTTTCTTTCTACAGAGTGGGTTAATAGAGTGAAAGAACGGTAGGGATAGGGGGGACTGGCAGGGAATTTGCATAAATAAAAGTGAGCTTTCTCAGTTTTTTTTTAAGGGTTTAATTACTGTCACCTTAGTAAATGTAATATTTGAATATACTAAGACGTCATCAGCCTTATTTGTCCTATCAGCAGAAGCTTTCACAAATACCAATACCAGCTTCAGTTTTGAAGACATTTTGTGTTGGCCTTAAGTAATATTCAAATTTTATGAGATACTGAATTTAGGGTAGTCTTTAGTTGTCATTTATAATTATCATTGTTAAAAGAAATAAACATTTGAAATATATCAGTCTGTGTATAATGAATGAACATAGAGGTTTCACCTTTTGAGTGGAATATTTTAAATAAATCAACTTATCACGATATTCTAACTTCAGGAGCAGTACCTGTAATGTCCAACGCCTCTGACTCATTTGGATGTGACACAATAAACAGAACGAGCAGGGAAACGCAGACAGATCCAGAGAGGGTCGTCGGTCTGTGAAACTGAGAAATAAATTACGGGGGCAAAGAGAAATATGGGCAACGTGTCCTGTACAACCAGAGCAAAGATGGGTGAGGAAAAATGGCTAAACGCCAAAGCTCAAGAGGAGAAAATATGACGAGTCATACTCTGGGTTCCACTTCTAATGCAGCCGGCTATGAAGACAGACCTGCCTGAAAACTCAGGCGGCAGTATGAAACCAAACCAATTAAAAAGACATTATACCCCTGATGTTCCTTAAGAGAAAGCCGGAAGGATACTGCAGGCAGAAGAGCATTTAAGAAACCGGCACTAGTGACTGCCTTCTCTTATTAAAAAGGTGTGCCTTCCGCACATGAAAGGCTCATTGCAGTGAGTCATACTCTAAAACTTTTAACTTTTTTGCCAACACATTGCACACTTTATTGCTACTGTTCTAAAAATATGCGACCACACATTTTATGGGATTTCTTTGAGTTTTGGAAAAAAAAATTGCAATAGTTTTTCTCTTTTTACCCCTATTTCTTTGAATGTGTTACTCTTCAAAGGAGGGTGGGACAGAGAAAGAACCACCGCTGTAGAGATTGACCGACTTTAGGGCCGTCTTATCATGTTGGTCAGTGTCACCGATCGGCGGGCTGACTTGATGAGGGGTTTTATCCTCACTTTGGTGTTTATGGTGCGTTTTCCTGCCCCTTTATTAACTATATGACATAAATTACATGAGGAAATGAGGCACAGCAACACTGAAGGCCTCATCTCTCGTAACAGCCTCGATGAAAAGGCATAGCTTTTCAAACTGTTACTCGGGATTTCGAAGGTTGTGTAATATCTGTAAATAAAATGGGAAATGGAAAAAAAAACACCTTTGTGTGGGTTGATAACAAAATTTACTGATTTAATTACACATCTTCGAAGTCATGAAGGGATGGATGCTTTGACCAAAACAATCTAAGAAGGAATTTTGTGGCTTGTATTTATAATTTTTCTAATTTACCGAGGTATTGGTAATTTCACAATGTTAAATTTGAAATGCCATACTTTTTTTGCATCAGGTTTGTGAAGTAAAAGCAGTTGGTGTTCAGTATTTGATGGAGAGACACACTGAATTGGCTTTAATGGATTAAAACAGAACATTATTGACCTGTGAAGAAGCTTCCTTACAGGAGGGAAAGCTCCAGATAATAGACTGTACTTCAGATAAAGCAGCTGCTGTGTGTGATGTTTCCAGTAAGGGATTAAATAACATGTGACTGTAGACGTTTAACTCCCACAGCTTGTTACCAGCGAAAGAAACGGTTCCTACAGTTCTTATAGTCCTCACTCTGGGTGTTGCATTATTCGCTGCTACTCTGTCCAGCGGGTGACCAGCAACTAGCACTGCAGCCCTTCCCCCTTTTGCAAACAAAGTTTCGGAAGACTTTTTGGTCCCTGCTGTAACAGTTAAGGTCAGCAGGCTTTGATCGGCTTTGATGTCTTCCTCCAGCTTTGCTTGTGCAGACGTAGGATGAGCAAAGGGCGTCGACGTTTGATGGGCACATTTTTATGTTCCAGGAGCGCGACGGAATGCGTGCTATACTGGAGTCGTACGACAGCGAGTTGGCATCCACAGAGTATTCCCCTCAGCTCAGTAAGCGACTCAGAGAGGCAGAGGAGGTCCTGCAGAGGACTCAGAACCACAACACAGAGATGGAGGCAAGTATACGGGCATTCACGTGTTAGTGTTGCTTTTCATTTTCTTAAAAAAACAAAAACTTTTTTTTTAATGAAGTTTACAAGATATAGAACATGAATTCGGCCATTGGTCTCCAGTTATTTTTTAACTCACCTTTCACATACATACACACACTGCTGGATATAAGTAGAATAATGTCTTTGGCCTGTTCATTAAAACTCTATTTCTCCTCTTTGTCTCATCAATTCAGGCTCAGCTGACCAAAGCACAGGAGGAGACTGGGGTGCTCAAAATACAACTACAGACGGTTAGTATTTTTGCACACATAAACCCAAGTGCTTGGTTTTTGGTCACATTTTTTCTCTAACACCACAAATAGTATCTTTAGATCATAGCCTTAATCGGCCAATTTTTCCAGTCCTTCTTAATGGTCATTATTTCTCTCACTACACTATGAGGCTGCACCTTAAAAAAAAAATAATAAAAAAGGTACACCTTTTAGTATCTTTCCAATTCTGCCATTCTTTACTTGGTCAGAAAAACGTAGGAAAACAAACAATTGTGCCGTAATTCGTCAGTTTTTTTTCTTTTCTCACAGGTTCTAGCTTCTGTACTTTTAATCAGTTTTTCTGCTTTTTGGGGCTTCTCATTGCCAAGCTGACATCAACATAGCCACGGCAATGAGTACTGACGTGTGAAATCCACCTGTCTCATACAGCAGTAATTACTTACTCGTCTTGGGAACTCTGGGAGAGAGGAGAGGAGAGAGACAGACAAATGCCTTCAGATAGAAATGAGCGTGCAAATGTAAATGAGACATAATCGTGGAAACGAAAGCAAGATCAGGCAGTAACTAAGACGCGGGCGCGTGTACAGCTGCGGCGGGGATGGTGATAAGGACATTATGTGTCCAGTCGTCAGGATTTATGTGAAGGCTTAAGGTTTTTGCCATTCATGTGAGGAAATTCGGTGTCATTTTTAGCACAACAGACTAGTCTTCTCTTCATTTTCCCCAGGTGGAGCTGGAGCTGGAGTCTTTAAAGAAGCAGCAGGCTGCTACAGCTGACGGCAGCTCTTTAGCCACCAAAGAGGAGATGAGCATACTCAGGTACAAACACCAGGTCACCAGAAAATCCCCATCCTGCCCAGGAAAGTTGGGCTTAACTCTCCAAGTTCAAAGAAATACAATACTTCAGAATACTTCTGATGGAACTCATTCTGTCAGTACATGCGCATTATTCTACACGGTAAAAACTGTATACCCCAACAACACGTTTCAGGCAGAAGATTGAAGATTTAGAGACAGAGCGACAGCGTTTGGAGGAGCAGAAAAACACTCTGGAGATGAGACTGGAGAGACATAACCTGAAGGTAGGCACCCAAACTTTCTTCCAGCTGTGTTTTTTTTCTTTTTTTTTTTTTGTGATGGATTTGCTCATACGGCACATAGGAACCAATTTAATAACCCCAAGGGCAGCAGGGCTCACCGGCAAGACATCACAGATTGATTCACACGAACGTTTCTCATATCTGACAGTTCTTGGAGCACAATTGGACCCAGGTGTCATTCCAGCAGCGTCCGCTGGAATAGTCATAGAACCTGTGGCTGATTTAAAGCTCCACCTTTATTGGGTGAAGGGGATTACAGTGGACGGAGCATCGGGCCGGGATGAATAAATTTAGACCCTCCTAAATTTGAGATGCGAATGAAATTGGCTACATTTAAATAAATCCCGCTCGGTACTGACCTTAACATGACTAAGGCGCACAAACACACGAGTCAAACTTTATGCATCTAATCCAGTTTATCCCTTTGTTCTAACTGATGCCCTCTCCTTTTTAAATTGGCTCTTACGCCTCACCGTACGCGTGCCTGTGTGTGCGTGCGTTTCATTTCAGTGGGCTCCTCTCACTCCTCCTGACTCAGGCTGTGCTCCAACTGAGTCTACCAGGTCACTCAAATGAAGTCTGTGTGGGCAAGCGGGTTGGTTCCATTTAACTGGGGAGTGAGTAAAATCCTTAGTCCCGTCGAGCGTGACCGCGCCTTTCAGGCAACACACAACCCAGTGAGAGCAGGACTGTGCGCTCCTAGGTTTCAAGGTTACGCAGTCAATGGATCAGGCTGGGTTTTAGGAGTTAATTTTCACGACTCCATGGTCCTCCATGGTCTGTTGCACTCTAAGAGGCCCCCCTATCAGACCCCATGAAGAGAAGAGTGACTGAAAGGTGGTGTTTGAAGTGGGGATGAGTATGTGTGGAAGAAATACAGAAGTGAATCACTCAAGGAACTGACAATGGCATTTTATTTTACTACACTAACTTGCACATCGCATTACTGCAGTCTAATCCATAATTTATGCCTTGTCTTTGTATTTTGATCACACAGACAAGCGTGACTGTCAACCACTCATACTGCCAGTGTAATGAGATTGCTGCCATGGACTGAGCAGTTCAGAAATGTATCAAGCCACCAAGTGCTTTATTCATGATTATTAAAAAAAAAATCTAAATGAATTCTGTTAACTATTTCTAATTGGATGGATAAACATACAAAAGAAAAGAAATCCTTGAAACAGGATTCAAGGTGTGACTTTCTTAGATGGTTTTTGCTTTAGTGCAATGCCAGTCTACATAAACCAAGGGTCTTTTCTTTTACCTTTCCCACTACATATGCATCCAAAATGTGTGTGTGACAGTGATTTATGAAGCAGGTCATTGCTACGCAGGTATTGCACAGTGCTGTTAAGTAGTGTGCTGTATTCAGGCACCTTTCAGTAACCGTAGTAGAAACAGAAGTGACTTTAGTTTTTTGTTTGGCAGTATGTGCAAGTTCATTTGATCTTTCAGTTTGGGCTCAGTCAGGCTCTTATCGGTCTTGTAGAATATGTTCAATGAAACACAACTTTCCATCACATATTTGAAGATTTTCTGTGCAATGTGTTAAATCCACAGTTGATCATCGAAACCTACCAGTTGTCTCCCTCTTACCATACTGCTACTCACCCAAGAGGCCACAGTACTGCATGTTTTCCACGTTTCCCAGCTCCACCGAACCTTTTTCAAATCCTGAAGCTCTGAAAAGAGCAAAGGAATTACTGAAACAGGTGTTCTGGAGCTGGGACACATGGAAAACAGGCTGGGCAGTGGGCCCTGTGGACCAGGGTTGGGTTGCCTTATTTTTCTAAAAACTTTTTTGGTATTGCTTCCAGTGGCCTTTTTTTTTTTTCTTGTTAGTGTATGGTTGCTGTTGCCGAGCATCCTTACTAATGAGCTCTCTCTTCGAAAGGGAGAAGAGGCTAGAATATCAGAACTGCAAAGCTTTCATCTTTTTATTTTCAGAACCGCTGGTTTCCCTTTTTTATTTCGAGCGTTCATTATTGATGAAGTCAAAGACGTAAGCGCATTGACATCATGTGTACCAGAATTTCTTTCACATCATACAAAGTAGTGCAGCGAAAAGAGTTATATCACATGTTATTAGTTCACAAGGAGCCGCAAGTAGTCCGTTTAACAAATGATTGTTTTTGTTTTTTCATGTGAACAAAATGGATCAATTGATTGACTTGATATTCGATTCGTTACAACCTTTCTCTGCTGTTTTGTGAGGAATTGAACATCATTTTCCAGTTTCAGTCAAGCTGTTCAGGATGTTGCACTGTTCTAATTTATACCTTAATGATAGATTTTCCATGTATTTATAGTTAAAAAAAAATACTAAGTTGTTCTTCATGATATTTGGGGTTTGACTTTTTTTTTTTTTTTTTAAAGTTGGTTATCAACTGATGAGAAACATTCAGAAAAAGGTCTCCATATGGTTGGAAAGTAACACTGAAATAAACTCACAAGTCTTGCACGGGTAAATATTCCCAGTAGGTCCAGTAATCTCATTTTTATTTCTATGTCTCTGTTCCAGATATCTCAGGTTTAAAATCCACAAGAGCTCGTGAAATCCACACAAATTCTCAAGGCATCTCTTTTTTACTGCTGGAATAATTTTTTCTTGCTTGAAAACACAGTATTTGAGCTCAGTTAGTTGTGTTGTTAAGGAGGCAGAGCATGCATTGTCAAAAAGAAGGGTAGTCAAATCAGAGCAATAAAACATTCATCTGATTGTTTCACAGTGTTGGCACTCTCAGGCAGAAAAAAAACCCACCCCACAGGGTTAGATTTTTACTTCATGTAGGTGGAGTGGCTTTTCTTGTTTTGTTGGATGCTCTGATCTGTCCCACCACAGAACATTACAAAGTCAGCAACAGTGCTAATTACCAAAATGTGTTTGAGAGCAATAAAAGTTGAAACCTTAATTGTTACAGTGTGAAATTGCTCTGAGGCACAAATGAAATAGCACCAAAACCCATAAAAAGTGTGCAGTATGGCCAGGGTTTGAGTTGACACCGCTGAAGTGGAGTTTCTGGTCTTTGGGGGTGGAGCGATGCATTCCAGCTGACTTAATGAGCAACAAGGATTGCAATGATAGGAAAAAAAATTATCTAGTTATAGAGCTTTTTTACTTTGATTGTTGTCTATACTTTTGATAATTGTAGAAGGACAGAAAGAAACAAGTCTCCTACAAAGAGAAAAATTAGACTAGAATCAACCTTGCTCTGGACTTACAAAGACGATAAGCTCCATATAAGATGATAAGCTCTCTTTAAAAAGTTCAGTCTGGTTTTACTTTCATGTTTCTGCTGCTTTAGTGCAACAATCAGCCTTTTTTTTTTTCAAAGATCCCATATCACCCATCTGATTTTCCTTTTATCAGGGAAAAACCTATAGTGTCAGAAGTTTTCTATCTTAATGCAATAATGAAGTACAAGGGCCTATTAAACAGAGTTTCTGTGTTCGGTCCCTCTTGACTCAGCTGTACTTTCTTTCACTTTTGTCTAGACGGTTGATTGTTGCTGTTGCAGGAGGTTGCATCAACACAGACTCTGTGCATGTGCTTACATTGGCAAATCCAGCTGTAAAACAGCCAGATAAATAAGTCTGGACATGTTCTTCAAATGAGATATCAATTATGAGATCAGAGAGCCGTTAATATTTGGTCCTAACGTTAGTAGGCCTTTAGCCCCTCTATTGTTCCTGACTCTGTAAAGATGATTTTAGCAATAAATATGTATGTAGGGCATGGCAGCAGGGCTGTGCAAGAGCAGAAAATACTATACTTCAAAAGACTTAAAAAGAGAGTAATTAAATCCAAACCCTGACTAATACGACTTGCATGGAATATTAGATAAATAATGGCATCAGTGATATAGATGCAGTATGTTTAAAAAAAAAAAAAGTCAGGATGTCTTCATAATTGGTATCGGAGGAAAAGACCTTCACTTTTCCAAAGCATTATTGGTATCCACGTGGCTCCAATCTCTACATATTACAGATGGGAAAATATCAGTTTGTTTTAGCCTTTACGTTTGGAGCCAAAGGCTGTAAAGCAAGTGGAAAAAAAAATGAGGATGCCACCAGAAATACCCACTAAGATGGAGGACTTCAGAGGGGTTTAAAGGTGAGAGTTTAGCACAGTGTGAAGCGATGGCCTTTCAGGGAAGATGGACAAGCTCTGTCTTCTGGGGCCCATTTCTCAAAGGGACGTGTTGACTTTTTTAGGATCCCACGTTTATTGAGGGCACTTTTTACTGTGTTGGACCAAGGATTCACAGGACAGTTAAGTTCAAGAGGGTATCGTTTATTTATAAGGTGATCGTGTTGCTGGTTTATAAAAACAACCCCCCCCCCCCGATCACTTCCCCCTTTTTTTGACAGCACGTTGTTATTTTTATATGCAAAGGCCTATTCTTCCAGTCGACCGCAAACTCTGCCCCTTTTGCCTTGCAGGTACAACGTCAATCTCTACTGTTTGTCAGTAAAGTGCCCGTAGCAGGGTCTGGACAACACGTGTTCCAGACAAAGAGCCAATGCAGAGTCCCCAGACTCGAGTCACTGCACACACAAACCTCACTGAGGGACACAAATCCTCAATGTGGGCTTCAAATCTCAGTCTCACTTTTACAGAATTCAGTGTACCCAAGGCAATCATTTGCAGCTCGTATCTTGCCATTTTTCCTAACAAATATTCCCTAAGACCACTGTGTATTAACCATCTAATGTTTTAAGGTTATTTTATTCATGAGGACATGATATTTATATAGAATATTCATAGCTTTGGTGTAGAATTATATAAGATCCTCAGCCTTGATAAGATGCACATTTTCACTTTTTGAAACTCCTTCGTACTTCATCTGCCCTATATTTCACCAAGTATACACAACATCTGGTATGTGTCTTGCTGGTCTTTCTGATTTCACCCATAGAGGGAAAAACCAGTGGAGCACACATTCCACCAGAGTTCACCTAAGATTCTCTTAGGAATAGTTTGGTAACCCATTTAGTGCTTTCTCTTTAACCTGATGCACATGTCCATTCAGACCATGACATTCTCTGTTGGTTGTTTGGCATATATCAGGATATTTTGTCCTTAAACACCAATCTGGTAGACATTTTACTGGCAGTCCACACTTCAAAACGAGTCCATAAAGATTCTTACTTTTCCTAACGCACAGATTGATGTGAATCGGACGTATTGAATCAGGGAACTTTCTAAAACCCTCAACCCTGGTGGACAGACTGTGGAGTCCTCTGAACCACACCATCAACACACACATGTGATTTGATTGATTATTTTGTGTTTTGTTTTCGGTATAAAGTACTTCTTTCCTTGTCTAACCTTTAAAGTTAAATCTCCATAAAATTTTGGCGATGTTTTGGACATTGTTAGATGCTTTTAGTGAATCTGATTTCTTATAAAAAACAGACTTTTAAAAAAAAATTTAAACAAGAGCTGCCATTTCCTCTTTTCCACAAGAAGCTCTCGGTAGTCTGGAATTGTCCGTCTTTTTTTTGTTGTTGTATTGTTTTAGAAATTAGAGACTTGCAGCCTGAGCACTTAGGACCTCACTTTACTCTGCAGTAAATACTTAGTGAGAGAGTAAAGTGTGTATTTTTCTGCAGGCTAAAAAAAAAAGTTACCTGAGAGTAAAATGGAGCAGGTTGCTTCAGTACTTTGAAACTCAGCTATGCTCTTTTATTGTTTTTTTGGCAGGGACAAAAATTAAACCAACTGAAAATTATACTTTTTAAATGTTTTTTTCCCCACTGACAGTGAAAATGGATGTGTTTTTTTTAAACAGTTTTTCTTTTTGAACAGAAGCCGAAGTTCAGAGGATTTACCTGAATAACAAAAATCAAAGAAAATCAGTGTTTCTTTTAGGTCCATGTGATGCAGTTGAGGATGATTAGTTACATGAACACACATCCTCCATCTCCTTCTACCTTTTGTTGTAATTGAACTCTATAATTTCTAAGAGTGAGTCTGTCTTTTCTGTGTCCTTCCCCGTTTCCCGTCCCCATATTTCTTTTCCCTTCATCTGTCTTGTGCTTCTCCACCTGTACTTTACAACTATTGCTTAAGGGCACATGGAATCCAATTTAGCCAGTAATCATGAGCTTTGATGTGTGTGTTCCAGCTTATGTGGGAGCCATTCATTCTGATTCTGCCACTTTATTACTTTCAGACCTTTTAATATCTTTTTTTTCCCCAAGAAAGAAATCAAAATAAGCAATGGTTTTGATCAAGCCATAATTACTTGAACAGCAATCTCTTGCTTTTCATTCTGTGCTTCATGCACACACACACAAACTTTGTATTGGTTTTGTTAGTGTGAGGCTCGTAATGTGGATCAATATGACAGATGATAAACGCAAAAATGTGGATGTCAGAGAGGAAAACAGGGGAACTTGGGGCTTATTTAATTGTGTGAATATCTCTAGGAGAAAAGAGTAGTTTGTATCTAACTCTCACGCAACACTTAACCAACTAACTGAAATCCAGCTTGCCAAAGTTTGCCTCAACTGAAGTATATTTGGCTGTTTGTGGACACCTCACAAACACGATGCACTGTTTTGAAGTTATCCCTCAGCTGTCTTTTTTTTTTCTTTTATTCAGAAATCGTTCACCTGACGTGAATGTGGTCAAACTTGGAAAAAAATACATCTGCATGTCTGTCTCTGTCTCATTTAGGGAGGCTATGATCCAACCAAGACCCGGGTCGTCCATTTCAAAATGAATCCAACCTCTGTTGCCAAGCAACAGCGCCAGCAGGAAGTGGAGGGTCTTCAGGAGGAAGTGGCGCGTCTCAGGGAACTGGTCCGTTCGCTGCAGGATGGAGGCACGGGGGCGCATTCCCACCAGGACTCCAGCCTTTACAACCCCAGCCTCAGCCTGAGTTTACCCCCGTCCAAGGAGGTGCTGGGTAAGATTCACTCCCATCAGTGATCTGCTGCCTTATCAAAGGCTGAGGACTGCATTAATTCCCATTTTGCTTATCAGCAATCCACAGCCATAGTGCCTTCTTCTGTTTGTTTGGAGTGGGACACGGCCACCAAGAACTTGACCACAATTTTATTGACAGACACTAAGAAATCTTATACCTGCTTGCATTTTATTTTATATTAAAAGTAAGTATTGCTGCTTGGAGTCGGCACATAAAAGCTTTGGTTTACAAAGGAATGTCATCACAGGAGGATGTATGTCAAGCAGGTATTAGGAGCACTAAATAGATCTCACAGGGTTGAATATGAAAGGTGTTTTTTGCTAATTTGTCTTCTAGGTGCTCTCACAGCCTCTTTAATGCTCTCTGACACTCATTCTTCCATCTTTTCTCAGCCTCCTTTTGTCTTCTCACAGTTTCTTTCAGCCTTATCTTTGTCATTTCCCCTGTACTTGACACCTTCATTCTTCTGTGCCTTTTAATGTCATAAGAATGACAAGTGCGTTTCTAAAACGAGTTCTACATTCAAACTCTGGCATGTAATTTAAGGGTGATATCTGTTATCTCCAGAAAAAAGATTTGTGCTCCTCAAAGTCCGCCAACATATAAATGATCCGAGATTGGTTGACGTTTTACTCAGTGTCCTCCATGCCGCCAATAACAGCGCTGTGCTGTCTAGTCAGAAAGAGTTTCTCATTGGCTTAAGGCAAATGTCTTAATCGAGACACACAGGAATCCGAACATGATACAAACCAGACTCAGTGAAAATCTCTGGATTTTGAGTACAGCTGGTATAGAATTTCAGCGCCATCATGACGTTTCACATCAGTAGTGGAAAGTTTGAACAAATGTGGTGCCAAGAGAGTGAAATATGGCAATCAGTTCTGCAGAAGAGAATAGAAGCAACTCCTATATGATGCACGAAAGTAGAGTATTTTAGTGTTTTACAAAAAAAAGTTAATTAAACTGTGTTCAGTGGAAGATTATCAATGCACTGTAAGCTAAAACGTAGCGGCCCAGTGTCCCTCTACCTCCTAGGGGACAGGTGGTCAATTTTGATAACATGAAGTTGGATGACGTTACAACAATCCTGCTGGCTGCGCTTCTAATAATGAAAAAAAAAGATGTTTATCTATAAAGAAAAATGAGAGCCTGTTTTTGTTGCCTTGGTTGTAGCAACCTTGGTATTAAATTGCATAGCTGTAAAGGAACAAAACTCAGGTCAGTTGACACAGATCTCAGTGCCACTAAAACATTTCCTTTCAAAATGAATTATGATGTTAACTCAATGCTGCGGCTGTTAATATCGGAAGTCTTCATCCTACGCGGTGTAGATGTTTGTTCATAGTTTCAGTTGCTCTGATTTATTGTTTGCAGTGTTTGATGTGTGTAACATTTCCATTGACTTGACCTTTTTTGGGGATTTTTACACGTCACACACACGTATAGACGGACATGTTGACGCGGCCTTCAGCTCTTTCTGCTCTTTTTAAACTTGTAACTCTTGTATCCGGCGGCAAGCTATAAAACTGGCTGAAACCTTACCAAAGAACATCATATATTGGACATTTTGACACTTTCTTTAAAGAAATAATTTGCAGAATTCCCACACGCAAAGACTATATGCATTGCAAGTTTTAAGGTCCCCCTTTCAAACTTTTTTTTATCGGAATGTTTGGTATTATTTGAAAGATCCTGATATGCTATGGTTCATGTTTACATGCCGGTCTGTTTGCATGTCGGTATAAATTGATGTGTTGGGAATTGCAGCTATTTTCAGGGCAGTTTGATGGCTGTCAAAACATGACAGGTTTGCCACCATCCCGCCGTTGAAACAGTATTTATCAGCAGTGACTGACACTCCAGACGAGCTCAGTCACGCTGGAGAGAGACGTACTCAAATTCCTGGAATAAGCCAGAAAAGAAATGAGTATCTTATGGAAATGTGAGCACTGGATCATAATTTTGAACATCCAAAGGCCTGAGATTCTTTTTTAACCTTTAAATAAATTGTCAGCAGTGTATTGGTTCACTTCAAGAGTAATTCAGTCTCTTTGTCTGTTATTAAGGCTGTAAATTGCACTTAAATGGAGATCCACGCTATGTAAACATGCCACACATCATGCACATGGGTCTGTCTCTTACCCAATACAGCTGAAATAGTCAGTGGAAAAAAGGAAAAAACAGATTTTTAAAGATTTTTTACTTTGACCCTCTGTGCTAACATTGTTTTCCCTTGGATTATTGCACCAGCATTTGCATCCTGTTTTTCAGCAAAGGCGCCATAGAACATAATTCCCTACTTATCAACTAGTTTCCCTTTGCCCTGTCATTTGACAGACTTCTCAAGTGAAGTCCCAAAATTAAAGTAATTATCGCAAATTGATTTTCGAGAAATTAGAGTGTCGCTCCATCCAGTTTCTCCTCTCCAGCACGATCCTTTCTCAGCTAAGATCGGCAGCTGGCTGCTTTAGCCTCCTCTTCACTCTGCATTATGTAGTGTGTTATATTCCCAAAGTGAGCAGATGGATTGCTGCAGGGAAAGTATATTTGATATAGACCTGCCCCTCTGTGAGCTCGGCTGAGCTGTTAAGTCCATCCATATGGCTGAATACTGCATTTTGAATCTCTCCTCAGCACATTTGATCAAGACTGTTTTAAACCATTTACAATTTGAAAAAAAAAGTTAGTACCGTACTTTAGATTTTATTCAGTCTGTCTGGCTGCACATTCCCATTCAACCGGCCGGTTGTTTGACTGATCGGTTCTGTTGGCCTCTGTCTGTGTTGCAGATCTACGTAAGCAGATGGAGTGCTCAGAGCTGAGGAACCAGAGGCTCAAAGAAGTGTTTCAAAAGAAAATTCAGGAGTTCCGCACCGTTTGCTATGTCCTGACAGGCTACCAGATTGATATAACGACTGAGAACCAGTACAGGCTCACCTCGGTCTATGCAGAGCACATGAACGACTCCTTACTCTTCAAAAAGGTACCTGCTTTACTCCACTTTGCTTGAAAGATTTCATTTAACAAGGTTCACTCCTGCAAAATATATTTTGACACGCAATTTTTTCACATTATTTTCCATTGGATTCACATCCTTTCTTTAAAAATCTGTTGAGTTATCTTTTTCAACCATGCGTAGGCCAGCCTTATCTTTTTAGATTTGCAGCATTCTTACCAGAGACCCAAAATTGGTTAAAGGAGTTCCTTTGTGGCTGCAAAGCAAATCCCTAATTTGCTTTGGTTTTTCACTTCTTGATTCGGTAATGTTGTAGAGATGAAGGCCATCTCATTGGTCTGATTATTTTCACGACAACCAAAACCATCCTTTTACATGTGCTTTTTTTGCATCATGTCGACTCTGAATACAGCAGAATCCCTCGTATTGCTCTGCCTTGGCTTCATGCTACGCGATAGATGTAGTACATAGCATTTTATTGTCCTTAAGCTGCAGCAGCTGTAATAACCATGAGCATATTTTGGCCTGTTTATTTCAGTTTGGCTCTGGGTCTGATGGCCCTTCCGATGCTACGCCAGGGTAACCGTTAGCCATTCTGCCAGGAGCAGGGTTTATGTCTGCTGATGTCAGGTCTAGGTTAGCTTTCAAAGCCATGATCATGGAAAGCAGGCAGCATGACTTTTCAAGAAAAAAAATCTTCCTCCTCTTGTTATTTTTTGTCTCTCTCTATCTCTCTCTCTCTCTCTCTCTCTCTCTCTCTCTCTCTCTATATAT